AGGCATCAATTGCAACATATATGCCTGGCGAGAATGTCACTGTCATGTATCTGAACGTAGAGTATAACTACGAAGATCCTATTTTGGTATCGAAACGATATGTCGACAATGGTGGCTTTAGTACATACTCGCTTGTTCCGTACACGTTGCCTCAGAGCGAATATATCCCGCCCGTAGGCTCGATCATGTGCGGAAAACTCTCTCTGTGGTGGAAATCTCCATGTCAGCGCTACTGTTCTCACGATCCTGAGAAGCTGTCAACGAAACGTATGTATGCTGTTGGATACAAGCCTAGCGGCATCGTTCATAGTATAACACATCTAAAGAATGGTGATGTGAGTGTCAAAGTGAAGAGCTTTCAGGTATTACAAGACGGCGATAAGCTGTCTACATATCATGGCCAGAAAGGTGTAGCCGTGATCACGCCATACGAGTCTATGCCTGTGGCATATAGCGAGAAACATGGTAATATCATCCCAGACGTGGTGGTTGCGATGTCATCTATCGTGACACGGCAGACTAACGGTCAATTGTATGAATCTGCGCTAGCGCTGTCGTTGCTTCACAGAGGGTCATCTAGATGCCACGTCGTGAAACCTGGCGAAGTCGTAGATATAGACGATGAATTCAACGTGATCAATCCTATCAGTGGTCGCCACTATACGACTCTCGTCTATGATAACAGTGGAGAAATGAAGCGTGTGGTGGCACGAGTATCAATTGGCGTTGTACGCATGTTCAATCAAACGCAAATGTCGCGGGAGCGGCATCATGTGTCGCATGCAAAAGTCTCTAAGTATACATTGCGTACTCCCGAGGGCCGCAGCCGCGGCGGCGGCGTTGCCTGGGGCGAAATGGAGGCTCAGATATCATCCGCTGCGGGCTACCAGCACACCAACGAGGAAATAGAGAGTCGAGGCGACAGAGACGTCGCAACGCGTTGCCTCAAGTGCCAGCGCCTAGGGCTGCTGTGCCCTTGCACTACAGAAGCATACCACGTTCTTGTTACCGGTCCGTACGACCTTGTGACAGTTGACGTTCTAACAGCGATTATATACAATGCCTCTTTTCAATACGAGCTGGCGCCGGAGTTATGAACAACACGATAGACCGAGACGCAGGCGACATCGACGACATACTACCAGCCTGGAGACTACAAGCGATCAGAAACTACAAATTGACATTGGCGAGGC